ACAGAAAAACATGAGATAGAGGAGTGCAGTCTTGACGTCCATCTTAAACTGTATTTGTGATCTCCATTTATATTATTTCCCCTCTCGATCATTTGATCCCAGTTGGACTTATGCTTCAGAGATGAGCACTATTTTCTGAATGATGTGTTTATTGTGTTTATCTGCTTGGAAACAGTCACATTGCTGTTATGTTTACAGCTAAAGAACAAACAACAAATAAGCCACAACTCCAAACATTAGACATTAAATTCTATGTTTAAGCAGTATTACTTTAAAAAAAAAGATTTAAATATAATTATTTGTGTCAGTACATTAGTTTGAAATATATCTGATTAGGGAAGCTGCAGTTCTTATACACCTCTGTGTTTTAAACTGCAGAATACTGAGCAATGTAAAGGTAACAATGTGATGGAGAAAAAATATATAAAGTAACTTGACACGTCATAGTGTGAGTTCAAGTCAAAGGGGGAAGAAAGAGGAGATGGGGGGAAGTGAGATGATCGTGGGTTGCCAACATCTGTTTCCTGTGTTATATAAGCTGTGGGGGCTGGTCTCCCTTGAAAATGGGAGATATTCAGAAGTCACGCTGCCACTGACCCCGCTAGTAGCACCACTGCTACTGCTGTCTTGACTGCAGGGCTTTTTACATCTGTTCACAAATAACTGTATGAATATCAGCCTAGGTATCATACAAAATGCTGCTAAAAATCTGGACCAAAGAGGCTTCACTTCATCTTAGACAAGCAGAAGAACAAAAGTAAACAGAAGGAAATATTAAGAGTGCAATAATGCTTATACAGATACCTATCTCCTCTAAATGTAACGTTTTACTCATCAGCTGACAACATTTTTTTTTATCATTATCAACTAATCCCATAAAAAGGACGACATCAACAATGAACTGATCTTACTAACATTACTAGCATTGCTCTTTAGAGCTCCATTAGGTGGCTACAGCTGTGCTAGCAGTTCTGTGAGGTACAGTGGTGCTTGAGCTAAATGCTAATCTCTGAATGATAACATGCTCACATTATGCTAACTTGATGATCTTTAGGAGGTATAATTTTTAACAGGTTTAACCACTGCAGTTTAGCATGCTAGTGTGCTAACATTTGCTAATGATCCTAAGCACAAGGTGCAGCTGAGGATGATGGGAAATCCATTAGTTTATCAGGTACTGAATTTTAAACCTGATGATGGGACAAGAAGAAAAGTCAGGCCATCACCAAAGTTATTACAATTCATCCTCTGCTGAAAAGTAATATCTCTACCAATTTTCATGGTAATCCATTTAACAGCTGTCAAGACATTTGATTAAAAACCAAAAATGTCAACCTCACAATGGTGCTAAATGAAAAGTCAGGGAATCACTAAAATAAGTCAGATTCATCCTATGGGATGTCTGAAGAAATTTCCTGGCAGTTCATCTAATAGCTGAGCTATTTCAATCTGTATCAGTGATGGACTGAGCAACTGATCAAATTTAAACAGTTCATACCGGCTAATATGAGAGGAAGATGCAAATTTTGTTTTCAACTCAGTAATGAAATGAGACTAAAAAAAGATGTATGCACAGAGAAACATCAGTGTGAGAGGCTGTGCTGTACACTACATGTTCACATAACATGACTTAAACTACCAACCTGAAGTATGATGGCTGCATACAATTTTATGATGGACATCCAGAGCTGGAGTAAAAGCATTACCCTGAATGTGTTTAAGCCTGATTAGTCCACTGTAATACAAGGATCCACAATCACTTACAGTATGTATACAGATAAACAGAGGATTAATAATATAATATATTGTAGGACTACTGTAGTACAGCGTGGATCAAAAATGTCTAAACACCAGATTAAGATATTCAGTACACTGGAAGAAAAATAATATGTTCAGAAATGAGGTAGACATGATAATTACAGCAGAGGATGCAAATCTTCTAACAGCAAGAAGAGAGAGAAGAGAGGCAGAAGGACAGAAGAAAAAGGAGAACGGGGATATCTGTTCTGATAAAGCTGCTTGATGCATACTGGTTATGTTATTGTTGAAGGCCATTTGATGGCAAAGGGACAAGAGGACACTGCTGGATGTAAATGAGCTATTTTTTTGTTAGTACATACAAAAATTAAGAGGAACAATATGTAGAAATTTCTACAGGTGTTCCACGAGTAGAAAACCTTTATATGTGGTTGTAATTTAATCCAAAGTTTGTCCCACTTTGTATTTGTCATGCAATCATGTTTACGTGCCAGGTTTTTGCTACAGATGAGCTTCTGTTATCCTCACAAAAAAAAAACCTTTTATAAATGACTTGTCACAATGGCATAATTTTTCATAATTTGTTCACACTGCTTCCCTTAGGCTACACTAAACAAATGGTATGTGACAACAAGGCTTGTCTTTATGCTTCCTTACCTCACAATGACAGAAACAAACATGTCACAAACAAGTTGTAAGAAAAAAGATTTGAAAGCAATGCTAGCTATGAGCTGTATTATAGTAGCTAATTAAAGCGCCATTCATTGATCAAACACAACACTGTTGTTTAAAGCTGATGTGGTTAAAAAGTTAGCAAACTGGATTTGCCTGTTGATACATCCAGCAGACACAAAGCAACACTAACTTGGAGTCGAGCTTTTCCCCATTAGCTCTTGTTTGGTTGCCACCATTGACATATAGGATGGCCAACGTGTCACCATTTCCCTTCTCTATTCAAAAATGAAGCAAAATATCATGAATACTATAGATGCCATTTTACTTTTTTGCAAATAGATTCTGTGCAGTAGTGACCAGAAGTGGGGTGACAGCACCACAGCGCCAATCAAAGCTGTCAAATCAACTGGAATACATCTTTTTTAAAAATATAACCTTACCAGGAAAATGACCACTTGTACACACATCAGCGTGATAATACACAGAAGTGACATCTGGGAAAAATTTATTTGATTTGTACTTTTGAGTTTGTGGTTTGACTTATGTCCCTTCTGCGAATTTGGAGGAGGCGGGATTTATGACCCATACTTCAACCAGCCACCAGGGGGCAACCGAGTCAAGGTGGCTTCACTTCCGGGTGCTGTCATGGCATCTATATTTTATACAGTCAACGGTCGCCACCAACTCCTGAGGGAAGTAGCTGGCTTTTAACGTAAATGTTCACTAGACACTAGCCTTTTCTGTCTGCTGTTTGGTGCTGAGCAGGTACCTTATCATAGGTTTATCAGATTTCTTTTCTCTGAAAAAAATTCCTTTTGCAGCTGAAGTGAAAGTAAATCAAAAGAGTGAAGCTGTAGAACACAAAGCCAAAACACTGAGCTGAAAGATGCTAAAACACTCATAAGAGTTATGGGGAAATGCTGAATGAGCTGGGTTTGTTATATACAAAATTAATAAATGCTTTAAGAGAAGTGCATGCCCCCCCCAAAAGCATCTTAGCATCAGGTGCATGTGCCAAGGAATAATACTAGTAAAGTAAAACGATTATAGCCCGCACACTGATTTGATGCTCCACAAAACTATTTTTATCCAGGCAAGGTGCTGCGCCAACGATGTTTCAACATTAAGCCTTCATCAAGTATATACTGATTTAATTTAGCCCACATTTACTGTCAAAATGTTGATTAGTACAGCTTTAAAAATTGTTCATAAACGTGATTATAGGGTAGGTATGTTCGATCTAAACCCAAAGTGCTGTCTCAGTGCTCCTAAATATTACTAATGACTCATATTACTAGACTTGCTGAATGAATTTCTTATTTGTCCACATGCATACTTTGAAAATACAAAAAAACACACAGGTCACAAAAATAAAACCTTAAAAACATCATTAATCTGTTTGTAATTTAGAGAAAATACAATACAGTCATGTAGAGTTTTTGCATATAGCACTAGCTGTCCTGTAGCTGCAGTGACCTCCATATGGCACAGCTCACAACGATCTGAGTTCCAAACGTAAAAGCAATCAAGGACATCTCTCGTTTGACCAGGACAAAGTTAAGTTAGAGTTGACACACTTAAGTGCAACACAGAGAGACTTCCTAGTGAGTTTTGGATTACAAAACTGAATATTCTCTCTGCTGTGATTTCATAAGAGGCTTTGAGAGATATATCAGTGTGACCGTGAGTTGCTGTGTGTGTGTTGTGCTGTTACAACACTGATCTTCAGTACTGATCCAGAAGTCTGAGGGCAAAAACACTTGTCATTAAGGCATGTCATTCAGCACAGTGAAGGATCCTGTTTGTAAACAAAGCCATGGCAACAGTGGGACTCTGTCACGCTCTCGCTCACAGGTTTACACTCCCACACGCAAGACTGACACACACATACACAAAGACACACACACACACACACACACACACACACACACACACACACACACACACACACACACATAACAGCAAGATTATTGTAAACTAGTCCTCATCTTGTCATCTGCCTGGATATGACCCAGAAATACAGTCGCTGGAACAAATAGGCCACTGTCATATTAATCTCCACCTCTGTAAATTGATGGAAAAGTGATTTAGTGTGTTCACAGTAAGCCATGTCTCCCTGCTTCTCCCTTCCTCTCTCCCTTTGTATCAGTGTCTGGCTCTGCCCATCACAACGATAACTTGACCTCCTCTTAACCAAATCCCTTGTCTTTCTTCTTTTCCACAGCGAGTAATGAGTAAAACATAATGCAACATAAAGAAATATATCTTTGACCCTGTAATTGCCTGCTCAATTCAAAAAAGACAAACAGGTAAACAAAAAAGCAAAGCAGGGAGCAAAGAGGAGTATTCACATGCAGATATTTTCTGTGAAAAGCTTTGAATGCTGAAGTCTGACTAAAATTACAGAGATTCTGTAATTGCAGTTTCAGATAAAGCACAGCACTTGGCAGGTAGAGTAGGAGTCTGCAGAGATGTGCCCTCATTTCCACACCGACACGGCGCTTGTGTGCGTGTGTGAATCCTTTAAAGGATTCATGCATGCTTGTATGCTTGTGAGTGTGTGCCTGTGTGTGCGCTTGTTTGTATCAGACATGCCTTGTGTGTGTTTGGAAGCGTGAGCGTGTGCGAGTGAGGGGAATAGGTTTGAAGGGTTAATTAGCATGCTGTCTTAAACGGTGTGCAGTGACAGGACGACAAGACAGGCTGTCCTTGCCAAAATCTTCTCTCTACATGCTGCTCAGCAGACACGCACGCATTTGTACAATACAAGATGAGGATATACACTGATTCTCCCCCACTCAGCACCTCAGTGCCCATCTGAAGCTCGCTCACAGACACAGACACACACACACACACAAAGTCAGTAAAGCCAAATCAGTTTTCTCGTTGCTACAGCAACAGCATACTTTTATGTCAACTGCAACCCAGTTACTATGGAGATATATATACAAGAGAAACTCTGTGGCGTTGTAGTCAAGGGCCAGATGACAGCATAGCGTGAGGGTACTGCAGGCACACACACTCGCTCATTAATACACACATACAGTACACACTGTGTCATCTTCTTCCTTCAGCTATTTTATTAAACACACTCAGCTCACTCAAAAGAATAACTTAAGGCTCACTCGCTGGTCAAGGAAAGCATAAAGAGCTCCCATATCCACCAGTATAATCTTAATCAGCTAAACACGCGAAGCCTAGCATTGATCCTCACTGTTTGTCCCCCACCACCAACACCCTTGGGCAAGATGAAATCTAAAGTCTGCTGGCATCTGTGTTATTAAATCCTCCAGTATTAATTTAGCACTAATTGAGTGAGGGATTCATCCCCTGTTTACTCCAAGTCTTTAACAGAGTAAAATCTGGATGGGAAAGCCTGTATAAAAGAGCGTAGCAAGACTTAAATCAAAAGCGAAACGTTGCTCCCACTGGGGCAGCGCAGCACGTCAGGGTGAAAGAGAACTATGAAAGCAGAGATCATCAAGTATTGATAAGGCCAAATCTGGTACAGCTGTAGACAAAATACAAAATATGTTTGACTTCAAGTCGGATATGGCTGCAAAATGCTGATAACTGTCTGGCTGTGAAATACATTTTAACCACAAATGATAGAGTGAGCAGTGGACCTATATTTACCTTTCTGCTTCAGCACTGTTTTGCTACATAATTATTCAGATTATGTTTGATGAAGACTGAAGAGAAACTAAAAAGCCCTGCACTGGTTTAAATTAGGGCTGGTAATCATTGAAGATTTTCAAAACCTGGGTCAGTGATCAAGCCAGGATTATCTGGGAGGACACAAACAATACTGTGAAAAGTACAGACCATATACACAGTAATATTAAAAAGACTGTATAAAGAACTGACATTGGACAGATCATGTTAGACACACTGTATAACTATAAATAATGTTGTGAAAGATAACATTAAAGAAATTACGTTTAGGCAATTATAGAATCATATGGATGAGATATTTTACCAGTGGTCAAATATTTTGCTTTCTGTTTTACTTTAAAAAAGACTTTGTCTTTGTACCTATAAAACCAAATCAATTAGATAATATACTATGAGCTTAAATAATGGGAAACCTAACAATGCTTCATAATTATTCCCAGAAAGTATTTGACATAGAGCAGGCCTATTAAGATAGAAGAGTGGCAACACTGAGGGGGTCAAAAATGGCAGCAGGTCACGTGACTATTGGATCATCAAACTGTTGATTAAGAGCTGGATTTATCAGCAATTACCATTTTAATGTCTTGTACAGCCTTGCAAACTAATTCTTTGTTCTGTTGTTGTAGATAGCTCAGCTAGTTTAGCTAGTGATGTAGGTAGCTAACTATTAAAGTAAGCTAATAATTGAAAGAAACAGTCAAATGGTTGTAAAATGTGTTTTGGAAATTGGCAGGCTCTGGCTCAAAACCTGCTGATAAAGTCATACTTTCTCAAAACCACACTTTAAAGAATATAAAAACATTTTTTCTACAAACCTCCATTTTGATTTAACTAAATAAACCAGTGCATCGGTGTTTAATGCAAAGAGTAGTTGAATATTCTATCAAAAAGGTTTTCTGATTTGCTGATTAGGTTAGAAAATATAGGAAATTTGAAAGGAATGCAATAGGAAAATGTGCCAAAGAAGTACTGGACCATGTTTTGATGCCACTTTTTGATTTTATGTGCACACTCCATATGGTACTAAAGTAATAAGGTTCAATAGCCAGCCCATAGTTTAAATGGAAGTCAGCACTGTCCTAACTTTCTCTACACAACTGCTGATGTCTATACCTGGCTCCGGTCTTTATCCACCTTCTTGAAGCACTTGTTGAGCGACAGATTGTGGCGCACTGAGTTCTTCCAGCCTGTAGGGGCACTTGCAAAGTAAGGGAAGTGCTCCAGGATCCAGCCATAGATATCCTTCACCGGCAGCCGTTTGTTCGGTGCATCTTCGATGGCCATGAAAATCAGGCAGCTGAAGGAATACGGTGGTTTTCGGTTAGCCCCTGCTGCCAAGTCGTATGCTGAGTGTGCATCGCCGAGCAGGGGGTCGTCTGGGCAGGGAGATGAGGAGGAGGGCGAACGGGGATGCTGGCCATCGGGGTCCTGCAGAGGGGAAACGCTACGCAGCCCCGAATGGCTGAAGCTGTTGAGGAGGTCAGTGCTCTCATGGAGCCAGGAGAGGCTGGTTAGTTCCTCGTCCTCGGCCTTGGAGAAGGAGGCCGATAGGGACAGGGAGAGATCAGCTGCCTCGGCTTCAGATGCTGCTGTGGCGGCATCCCCCTGCCGATATGGTGGGCTCATGCCCTGTGAGGCACTGGCACCACTACTGGGGCTCTGAGCCTTCTTACTGGGGGGCATGGTGGGTCCCATCCAGCCCAGGGCTCACTCCTAGAGAGGGGACAGAGCAGAGATAGGAGGACAAAAACAGGCACAGGGGAAGAAGGGTGTAGAATGGGTGGAGAGGAGAAAGAGGAAAATGAAGAAAACAAACATGGTCAGACTGAAATTCAGTTGGATTCTCACATAAAGCTTTCATTTTGTTAAAGGCCAAAGGCTGGAGGCACACAGGAGTTTGACCACATCACCAATTAGGCCATGTTAAATCTGAATGTAAACGTATACCCCGATCATATTTCTCTGGAGCTTACTATCTAGCTGTGACTGGGACAGAAAATTTAGTGCTTCATTGGTTGGGGCAATCCTGCCTTGTACAACTACCCTCTAATTACTAGTGTGCCAGCAAAGTATTGACATTACAAGGGTTTGCTGTCATAACATACGAATACTATTCAACATCTAATAGTTGCAGGGTCACAGAAACAATTCTGGTGCTTTAACATCTTGACAGCAGGAGAAAATTTAATTGTCAATGAATGAGAAACAGACAATAGTACAAACAGCTGAGTCCAGTGGTTAGACTTCGTTCCACAGCAGGACATCTGTGACCATAGATGATCATATTCATGAGATTTTCCATGAAAAAAAAACCCCAGAAGAAACAAATTAATAGTGTGAATTTAAATACACTCCTAGTCTAATCAGGCCATTATTCTCCAAACATAAGAGCAATGCTGTGCTCGTTAGACGCACCCAGAGTGTGGTAATTGAAGGGGAACGGTCCTGAGTATCACACCACAATCAGGCGGCTCACAACCAGGCCTCTGATTGTCCTCTAGCACAGACAGCTGTGAGAAGGACCCAGGCAGCAGCTACAGTAAAATGTAACCTGCTCCACTCACCCTGTGAACACATTTCATGGACACACATACACACCCTTTGCTAGGATTCCCACATGCTCATGCACACATACACGCAGACCCAACTGAGTGTGGGCACGATCCTAAATTTATATGCACACAGTAATACTGGCAACAAATTCCAGATGCACATGCATATACAGACAGGGATTCAAAAAGGTTGCAACCCTACAGTAAGAACATGCACTCACATGATTACAAAGATGAGTACACACACATACACATGCGAGAGAGCAGCGCCATTAGGACATGAGGATTAAGTCCAGATATGTTCTGGCTGGCTACTGTGTGGTGTGATCACTCTCTAATCCAAGGTGCTCATCCGCTGATGTGTCCCATTCACTCTGCATGATTGACTGACAGCTGTCACCCATGGCAACCCGCTCTGCCGTGACAACTGTCATTTCGCTACAGCTCTGGCCACTGTGTCACCATGGCAACAGAGCAAAACAACTCAGCTCCTCTCTCATTCTTGTGCTTTTTTCTTTTTTCTCCTTGCCGTCTGTCGCTCTTCCACCTATCTCCCTGTCTCCCCTGTTTTCACTTTTCTACCAGCACAGACAACTCTGCTTAACAGTGTTGATAGGCTGTAGCGGAAGGACCGATCTAAATATAGAATTGTGATGTATAGCTGCTGCACTGTTGCTCCACATATAGCTGGCCAGCCTACAGTCAGCCTGCCACTCCATTCGATGCTCTCCGCGGCGCCGGGGAAACGCTCGACAGAGCCGAATGTCTTTGATCTCCTCTCTTTTCACTTCTCACACTTTCTGACAGCATGCGTGCTCATTCAACAAGCTGTACCTGTCTGAGGTGCAGCGTTGTTGCACCAATATTGACATTGAGCATAATGAATTCAAATTGCCCTGGTGATGACAACACTGTAGCTGAAAATAGTGAGAGTGCAATCAAAGGCTTTTCAAGGTGTGCGTGTCTCTGTTTGTGAGTGCGTTTATGCATGTGTCTGACTGGCTTGTCAAGGTGTGCATGTGTGTTTGCGATCGTCTTGGAAAGGAACTAAGTGCATCGTGGTGCCGTTGTCCCCAGTAGAAGTCCAGTGGAATGCAGAGATGGCTCTGATGCTCTCTTTTTCTTCATCTCCTCTTCCTCTTCCTTGTTATGTTGCCATAGTGGCAAGGGGGCCATGAAACATTACGGCTGACAGTAAAGTCATCTCATTTTACTGTTGCTATGACAACAAACTCCTCACTGTTGGTTGGGGCCAGTGTGAGCTGCCGCCCAAGCCTCGTGCCTGAGTGTGTGTTTGAGTGGATGCATGTATGTGTGTGTATGTCTGTGTATGACACCACATCTCCCATGGGCTCTCATAAAGCTTATCAAACTTGCTCGGCTCTAAACAAACTTCCATGCAACTTTTGCCGCGGCCCCTCAGGATCAACTGTTAAAGGACAAAGGCAGATATCGCTCAAGTTCAGACTAAATGATGCCTGCTGTGTGTGTGTGTGTGTGAGAGAGAGGGGAGCATCCTCATATTTGTTTGACAGATGGGACTGTGCTATTCTCTCTGTCGTCTTCATTCTCCTGATCTCTTTTGTGTTTGCATGCTTTGTTTTGATTTGTGTTCGTCTCTATTTGGCATGTCCACATCTGTGGTTTCTTCCCTGGGTTTGCGTGTGTGCGCATCAGATTATTAAGTACACTCTAACTATCTGTCTATAAGTACACTCTCCTTTTACTGTAAGTATGGTATGTGCATGTCAGTGAAATTTAAAGCAGCTGCAATCTGTATGGTGTCTGTTCTCAGCGTGAGACTGGCACCACACCAGTTCTGTTTGCACTCTGAAAAATGGACTTTAAAACACACCATTCAATTATAGTAAATGGCTTTATCCGCTTGAACCACCTTTCTTACCGCCACGATTGGTGGTTGGTGGTACACTTAAGTCAGAGTGGTCCTGTTATTGTGGCGCTATGAATATATGTTCCATAAAGGGCTGAAAATTACTTGCCAACGGTGTCGAGCATTCACACTTCCTCACTCTACAAGTGTAACAGCCCTCTACTCAGTGACATTTTTTTCAAACTTACAGAAAAGCTTAAATGATTAATGGATAATCAATAAACAGAAAAAAAAAGTGAGCTTTTGCTTGTTTTCTCTGTTTTAAACAAGTGTAAACTGGGTGTCAGAGGTCTGTCAGATCAAATTGAATAAGTAACTTTGAAATGTGGGAACATGCGATGTATGCATTTACTTTTTACTAACAGTTCCCAGGTCCACTTACTAGCCTTTTCTGGAGCTTTTGGTCATATCACATGGTTCGTTAGTGGCTGGAGTTGTCATGGAGATGGATGTGTTTAACACACAAGCTATGAGTTCATTATGATTTCATTCATTGCAAAGGGCTTTGGCTGAAAACTTAAAAGAATAGAAAGCCGACATCATGATGTCAACGAACCTCTATTTCATTAGCTCCACTAACTCAGTGTAATCTTTCATTTAGCCATTTTTAAGTCTTTGTGAAAAAGCAAAGCATTGTCCTTGGGTTTCATTTCCAGACTCCAAGACAAAATGTCAAATATTATTTAGCATCTGATAAACTACAGCTCATGCTCATAAAGCACCAATAAAACACCAGTATTGCTTTCAACATTTTGGGTGTACTGTCTAAAAACAACTACAGCAACCTCTTCTTTCTGTCCTACTCTTATTACATCAGTAGTCAGGGACTTGCCATGATGTTAAGTCCACAAACCAAGAATGTAAATTAGTGTATTCCCCAACTCTTGAAATATCCTGTTAAGGCCTAACTTTTATTCTTAAACCAAAAGCTTAACTTAACAACTGATCCAACTCTATTCACTGATGAAGATATTGTTGAAATCTCTAGAAAAAACCAGTGACCTTGAGTTGTTTTGTCCATATCACTATTCCCAAAGTCAAGAATGAACTTTTGTGCCAAGTTATTTTTGATGGGGGAAATAAAAATCTCAAAATTAATCAAGAATTAAGATAAATGGCAGCTATAATCCAGAAGTATTCGGACACACTGAAGTAACTCTGACATGCAACCATCACAAGATCCCATTTTTGCAGTAGGACACCTACTTAAAATTGTAACCTAGTTTCCACCACAATCTCCTAAAAAGCTAAATGTGCCATTAAATGGTAAACTTTTCATCAATACACCATGGGGGTTATTTACTATGGTTTTCTGGCGCTAAACAGTGAAACCGTGTGTTCATATTTGAAAGGAGTCCCAGTAAGGTGCTGTGACAGAGAAACAGAAGAAATGTGGCAATGCAGGAATTTGCACGTTTGGTTTCATACAATATGTATTTTACGGCGTTCCCATCCAGGGAGGCAAAAATAAAGGAGGAGAGAAGGGAAATGTATACAAATACCCTCAGTTCCTGATTTACCACAGCTGAAATTTAGCACCAAGAGAAAGCAGGTGCATAATCTGTAGCCCTGCTCTCAGCATGGCAGCTGTTAGTCATCTGAGAGTTAACAACATGTTGAGGGAGAAGTTTTGTGTAAATCACATCACTCACCAGAGGAGAATGTGAGGGACGTACAGGCTTTCCGGTCAAACCATGCTTCAATTACCAAACAAAATAAAAGATGATTTGATAGGCAGAGGACTACGTGATTCAAGTTCTGAAACTGGTTTGCTGATTTCTTCAACCATGTTAATATTCAGTCTCCTAAGCTTCCTCTCAGTCTACACATGCACAACAGCCTTCAGGCACTAGATCCTAAGTGGAGGTGTATTCAAATGAACACAGCTTCAGCTGTGCTCATTTACATCATCAGTGCAGGTAAATACACCTCTAAATTGAAAAATTGCAGCGCTGCAATATTTTGTGCATCTGACCATAATTTATGACAGGTTAAATAAATATCCCCCTCTGTTGTTGACATAACATCTATAAAAATTGAAGGGGTAGAGCACAGTGATTTTTTTAGATTCAAGAGTTAAAAGTGCATCTTTTAACATGATTCAATCGTAGTTTCAAAAAGATTTCTTTGCAATCAACCTTCAAATTTTAATGAATTGAAAATAAAGTCTTGGGGGGCTAAACACAAATCCATAAAAGGTGTTCATTTAGCAGAATGTCATTGATCTTAATGTAACCCTTCTGACCTTTGACCTCTGAAGCCAATAGCAA